CCCCAAAACCCCAAAACCCCAAAACCCCAAAACCCCGCACTAGATTATTCAATTTGAAAATAATAATTCAAATTTAAAATGACGTCCCAGACAGCACTAGATTTGCTATTTGTGCTTAAGAATGAAACTAAGAAGATCTCTAATAAGACATACCACGGTAGGTTTGTACTCTTAGATCTAGGGGAGGAACTAAGATATCTTTCAGAGTGTTTATACCAAGAGTAAGTCTTAATACCCTTTAGACCCTGACATTTACAGCTTAGGTTCGTTTTTATTGTGGAAGAGAAAGCTTCAAAGATAGATCATCTTAGTGCTAACTTACTTATAGAATCACCGAAGCCAGCGCGAAGGGGTCCAACTTTTGATATCTCAAATTAGATGCGCTGAACATTAATGAACTAAATTTCAAAATTATATTAAAATTGCTAGATGCAAGACCAGATTTTTTCAAAGGGATGGACTTGACCAATAACCCTCTTTTCAAGGAAAATTGTCTGAAATAAGCTTTTTAACTTACAAAAGCCTAACCTGTTATTGGAGAAATTTCTTGCAAAGCAATCGACAAGGTATTTGACATTTCTCAGTTTCGAAAAGACAGGGTTAAAGTCAGAAATGATATTATCTTCTTTTATGATCAATGTGTTTTATTGATGTCCAGATCTTGAAATATTGATCCTTAATTCTCTCCCTATTACTGACAAAGTTGCTATAAATATGGCAAGAGGCATGCAAAAGGCATCAGTAAGCAAGTATAAGTTGGCTAAGAATCTTAAAGAGATTGGTCTTGCTAATACTAAGATTAGTGATAAAGGCGCCATTGGAATTCTTTTTGCCGCAATACAATATACACCACTAGAGGTAGTCAACCTAGAAGGAAATAATAAAATTGGGTTTAATACTGCTAGTTTTATCCTCCAACAGTTGATGATAAATCCTGGGCAGACAAATATAAGCTTGAGAGAAGTTTTTCTGGAATATACTAAAGTTAGCTCTTCTCTTAGAGCCAGCCTTAATGATGCTCTAGACAATTATCAGGAAGGAAACATCTCAATGGTTAATAAAATATCAAATAAGTACAATAATTCTTCCAGTTATCGATCTCAGCCACGTCAATATACAGCTGGATCAAATAATAGCTCTTCAAGGTATAATTTCAAGAACGAATTTTGGATTTTAAATCATGACCAAGAAAAAGAAAGTGAATGTACTGGAACTTACAGATCAAAAAGTGCATACAATCAGTCCTCAGGAAGGGATATCAATGAGGAGGAGCTTCCTATCCAACTCACTGATCAATCAAATGCTGCCAACAAAAGCCTTGATAGGATAAATAATCCTTGCAAGATAAATTTCAGACAGAGTAATTACTTATTCAATAGCAGAGAAGGACCCAATTGGAAGTAAGTGTCCCAAGACTAAAGTTAGGAAAAATGATGCTCAGAAGTCCACTTTCCATCAGGCATTTGAGAGCAGGAAGAAATCAAGGAAGATCTATTCAACTAATAATTACAACACTTACGGTATCATAAACCATTCCTCGACTAATTCATCCAAGAATAATAGAAATATGCAGTGAGGGTCCTTCTCATCGAACAATTTTAGTATTGATAGTATCTGTGGTCCTTCGGATCCCTACGAACAACTAAGAAGAGAAAGAAGTGAGTTATTACAGAAATCAGGGATCTATAGCTCCTCCAAAAATTCTGGAAGCTATGAAATCTCCAATTATCTTACCTCATGCAAAGAAGAGACTACCTTACAAGAAGCTTCCTCTTCAAATATTCCTATGCAAGAGTTTTATGATTCGAAAATAAGTCGTGAAAACTTGAAAAATAGCTCTGAGCCTCCTAAAACCACAGATCTGGCGAAGTATATTTCTGAGCCTGAGGAGGTACAGTCTAGGACTATTAAAGACAAAAACGAAAACAAGACTCCTTCCTTCACTGAAAGTGTAATAATTGAGAAAAGGGAGGAAAATAAGTATGCCAATAAAGAGCAGTCTTCCTCATCTGAAGAGGATACTTTCAGAAGTCGCCAAAGCAATATTGAAAACTTTGTAAAACAGCTCAACTGAGATGCTGTCAAAGACATCACAGAGTCCCAAAGAGAAGGCAAAAAACTACAAAAAAGCTTCAGAGAGTTTGCTCAACAGCAAATTAAGGAATTCCAAGATAAGGAAAACAGAGGAGCCCAGAATAATAGGAATGATTTCTTTAATCCTTATAAAAGACCAAATAATTCCCAGAACAAGAAAGCATTGGAGTCAATAGACCTAAATCTGAAGAATTTTGAATCTAATAAAGATAATGATGTATCTATTAATGAAAACTTGGATTCTCCCAACAGATCAGCCATTATTGATCACAATCATATTAAGCATACCTCAATGAGTCAGGAAGAGAAAGATGAGGATGATGAAGTCAGGCAAATGTTGAGAGAAGCAGGAATGACCTTTAACACAAATGAGTCTCAGAAAGAGAGTAAAAAGAAGCTCAAAAGAGAGGAATCTATAATTTCAAATAAGATTCTTTCCAAGGTGAATAATCATAACAACCATAATAACTCATCTCTCTGCTTATATGGTACAGAATCTGAGTCTAAGGCCCCATCTGGATATAAGCTGAATATCTCCAATGTTCAAAACTATGAAGAAGATCAGCAAAATGTAAAGGAATACCAACTTGAAAAAATTGGAGAGACTGAACGGGAGCATTATAGTCCAAGAGAGAATCCTAGAGAGGACATAAAACAAGCTAGCTCTATTCTGAGGCAATCTCATTTCCAAGATATTGATGATTCAAGTCTTCAAGAAACTAAAGAGATGGTCAAGAAGGAGATCAGCAGACTAAGAGAAATATACAGGAAACTAAACACTCTTAATAAGTCCAAAGAGTCTGGAAATGCTAGTTTATTTACTATTAATCATGACTCTAGCACTGGTTGAAAGCATGAGAGGCTGAATTCCCATATTTCTATTAGAAAGTCTGATGAAACGATCAGTATTATCCAGGATGAGAATGAATATATTTCTCAGAGATATGGTCCAAAGCAGTGCAGTGATGAAGATTTCAATTTATGAGAAATTCCAGATGAAGGCAGGCAGCATTTATAATTTCCATCAATGTTCAATTAATATTAATGTATTGGGGTTTTGGGGTTTTGGGGTTTTGGGGTTTTGGGG